GTGATAGCAATGAAAGCACTTACATGTTGCTAAAATTCTCCGACCCTCTGAACGAGTTTCAATTAGTAAGGTCATTGAATTGCCGATTGTTTGATATAACATTGGAAGTTGATCTGTAAATGTGGGAATGTGCGTTTCGCCTTGACAACATGCATACGTTCCTGGTATCACAGAACCACTTGTTTTCACACAATGAAGTGTATTTGCTCTCGATTTTTTTTCGAGATTAATTAGGGTTAGCAACCGACCAACGTCACTTATGCTGGTTGCTTCATAAAAAGGAGAAAAGATGACGTTGCATAATTTTTGCATTATAAATTCAAAACCACAACAATAATTTCAATTACGATATGCTTATATAAAATGGAGAATAACCATTTCGTAACGAAACCGCTGCTGCTTGTTAATTCATATAATATGTAAATGATTGGCGCGATGAAAGTTTTGCATTCGAATGCGGAAAATTTTGCGACTCAGCTATGGTTTCACAGATAATTTTCTGAGCGGTGCAGTGCACTTATCATTGTATATTGTTTTTATCAGTATTTCGTGGTTGCATAACTAAAGGAAAGTTTTTTTGAGAATGCAGCGGCTTATCGTGTTGCCGATTCCGCTTTCACCACAGGTCACGTTTCGTTGAAATTGAAACCGATGAAAACTGTCAGCATTGAAGCATTGAAATAGATCAGTGAATAATCCGCTTTTGACTTTGGACATGTGGTTGTTCCTTGTTAGTTTATTTCCTTGAGTCAGCTTCAGGCTCGGTGCAGGCTCGTGTTAGGTTCGTGCTCAGCAACTGTGATTTTCAATAATGCCTTAATAAGGCTTCTATGTCTGGGTAGTGACGTTCTATAGGAGTACAGGAGTAGAATCCAGTCGTGATCTTAATGGCTTTGTATAGGTTCTAGGATGTGCTTTGTGGTTGACATCCATGGTTTTGGCATCCGTCCTAGCAACGGAGGTTTTTCGTTTGCTCACAGAGTTGGCAAAACAAAAGAAAGAAGAACAAGAGCAATTACCAGTATTGCTGGCTGATTTGGATACACTAGGACAGGTAAACTGAAGGGGAAAATTGTTCGAAGAAATTTATGCCTCGATTTATGTAATGCCGTGCTTCTCTCAACTGCGGAACATGAAACGCAGAAGTGAAATATTTTGAAATTCAAAAACAAACTGTTGATGTCGGTGCAGAAGATTCAACGTTGTAACGAGTAGGTAAAAAACAGTAAAATTACATAACATCAACTAAATCGTTTGATTGAAGGATACAGTTTACCGACAAACCATAACGGGAACAACAGAGGATTTCACAAAAGAAACGCAAGCAGATAAGAACAAGAAAAAAAGGTTTTATCGTTTCTGTATTTGCAGCTTTCAGATGGGAATAAGTGAGGTGTTCCGTACTGATGCGAAATGCTGAGTTGTTAGAATAATAACGAACAACTGTGATTCGGCATTGAGTTTTGATTGAACTTGAACGTTCCAAATTTTAATTTAGACTTTAAAGTCTAAATTGAAAAATTCACGCATCTCAACACTAAACTCACTCATTCCAAGAGTCAGAAAATATTCAAGAATGTAAGTGGAATAGTGATAGCGATGAATTAATATTAAAAATTTGGAGTTTCCAAATTTATTTGAGGTGATGGATGCTGAAAGATCGCATGAACTCAACGAGATGGTCTGACTTTCGCTTTGCATGATTGAACGTTTTCACAGTGATATGATTATTTTTATATGCTGCATCATTGTTTCATAATTGAGCCACGTTTACTTTCATTATTGTCCATGAATCAACAATCAACTTCGTTCAGTTCAAGATGGGAGGTCGAACCGTGGAAGAAATCGCATTGCTCTCCGTGATTAGATGTTGTTTGTGTATTGTAAAGTGTTGCCAATTGCGTTCAGTATAAGTACTCAATCAGACCACAACGTGATGTGTACATGTTGCCTTTTATTAATTAGTAATATAGCATAAAAGCACATCGTGAAACAACTGCATACTCTTGAGCGAGCTTTTAATTTTTTTGCGTCGAGAAAAATTAATCTGCAATATCTACAGTTGGTTCATTTAATACTGTATAGCTGTCTAATATAAAATGGTGCAGTACAATACAATTTTTAAAAAAGAGTGTAAAATTACGGTGCAATAGAGTACGACTTCGGCTTATAGTCCGCGTGAACCATTTTGAATCATTGTTCACAATAGGTTGCTTTAGGTTCAGCAATTGACAGTTTTTTCTCGTGTCCACCTAATGAAGAGCATTTCGGTGGTTACCTATAAAATGGATTCTGAGCGTTAGAAGGTGACCTCTCAAAGTAGATCGCTTGTCATCGATCTATCAAGTTGCTGATATTACCAGCAACATATTGTACGAAATCACGCTATCATGCACTATGCACAATTGGCTCTCACACTCTCGAGCTGGGTGCATCTTTGGTCGTATGGCAGATCATCGTTGCTCGTACCTCTGACCACAAACCATTTCCCCTCTAACACTTTATTTCAACTCACGTTCAGCGATAGGTCAACAACAAATCAGGAAGTTGATCGATAGATTCGCCGCCAACAATTCATTGATGGGATCAAGGCAATTATTTCACCGCGATTCTGATCAATCAGCCAGTTTGCAAGCATTATCAATCAATAATGAAAGAATAGCTAAAAAAATATATATCAAAAATGATGTGGTCACCTCTGCAATACCCATCCTCCTT